CCACATTGGTCCTTACTGGACCCTGTCGGCTGCGGTAGCCGTCGATGTCAAGCGATAATGAGAAACTGATCCTTTCTTGACGCGCATTATACAAGCAATCGTAGTTTCGGGAATCTGCAAGCTAAAGCATGCTTGCGCAAAGCCACGCCGAAATGCGTGTCATCTAATGTACGGCAGGAGACCCTTGGGTAAGCCAGCATTCTCAAAATTTTCTCGTACCGCTTTGATGGCAGCAGAAGACCCCATAGTCTGCCATTTAGGAGATCCTTGTGAAGGAAATCGAAGATTTTCTCATCCACTACTCGAGAGGGGCAGTTGCTTCCTCCTGAGGTCAAGTCCCGCTTCCGTTTCGCCAGTGTGAAGCTAATTCTATGGAAGCGTGGATTCAACACCACATGGTCTAGTTTGACACATACGAAAGTGTCCCACCTTTGACCGAAGAGGATCATCCAAAAGTAAATGGCAGTATGCTACATGTTGACGGCATGACAGTTGATAACCGCCAGCACCCACTCAGATAATACTTTGGGTTGATTCAGTACCGCATTATGAGTACTACGCCAATCCATGGTGTACCCACGAGTGATTCGGCTCCAATCATTGGATAAGTGGTTGTATTTCTCATTTCACACCATTTGTTAAATACCGATCTCGTATTTTTCCAGTCATTTAAAGTCATTTCCTCACACACACAGCACTCCGCGTATGCAAGGAGACTAGCTGTGTCAGAAAGTGGTTTGAATTCATGTTGTTGAAGAGTACAAAAATCACGGAAGTATTCCAGCGCGCGATCATAGTTAGCTATAGTTCCCTGGACAATTCCACCGCTGTTGAGTCGTGCCTTGAGTCGTTCATTTCCGTTACCTTCAGATAATGGATATTTATAGTGGCGCTCCGGAAGGGGCTATAAAACACTGCTAAAAACCGCCATGATGGTGCCGTCTGTTCCAATTGACTCGCCAATGGTTTAGGGTAATATACAGCTCCCTCCGGCAGGAAATGTATGGCTTTGGCATGCGCCATCAAATTTCCCCACCAGGTTGCGGCTGTCCAGACTCGGACTATTAACACTCCCTCGACTGGTTCCCTGTCTAACTTCTCTATCATCTGTTTCACTAATAATCCGGAGGCATGAACAGATGAATATTCTGGTTCCACTGATGGTGAAACGCATGTAATTTCTTCACTGCCGCATGGTGGGCCTTCTGTTCGTATTATTATTTCGGAAATAGATCTGTTTCCAAGCTCGAGACCGGCAGGTGCCACATGTGTTATATTTTCAATATCCCGGATGTCTTGAACGCCCACGAGAATCTCAGCAGATTTCCCCTTCGACCGAGTTCGTCTGCTGTCAGATTGAGCTTCCCCGGCAAAAACGCTTGTGCTGTTGGCCAATTGATTTGTTTGTTGTGACATAACAATGCGAGATTGCGTAGCTGAGAATTCATCAAACGCGAGGGGCTCCTCCGTTTCCTGAGGCTGTGCATCGCGGTCGAGGAGTCTGTCATCACTAAAAGAGTTCTGTATCAGAGCCTTAATTTGGAAAAATTTCATCTCCACAATTAGTGTTCGTAGCTCCAGAACGGAAATCGACCATTTCGTCTCTCCTTGATTCCAGCGGCCCGCGAAGGTACGCGTTTGACCCTCCGAGTAACGAGTCGCTCCATATCCAATTTTCGAAGCATCTCCCGTCAGTTATGCATTCGGTTCCTGGAGCCAGATTGCACGACTGTCGAAGGTTGTCAAGAGAGTATTCAGTTTCCTTATTTTCTTGAATATAGAGCCCGATAGCCTGACTTTCGAATGAGTAAATTGTACTCCATGTTGTACTTCTGCCAAAAATGGCCGGATATTTGGGACTACAAATGTTACCCACTGAAGTATACCCGGGCACAATCGCCATAGTTTGAGAGTAATCTTTCTTCGGTTGCGGAAGGCGACGGAACAAACTGAGGTCGTCGTCCGAAGGTTGTCACCTATATCCATTTTTTTTCAACAGATTTATGATTACCCTCAAGTGATCTGGACATTGAACCGGAGTTTCCACTCCCCTTTCCCATCTGCCAGTTCCAAACCCAACCCCTTGTCGAGCCGATTGATGAAGTCGCGATGTGTTTGTATGAGAAACAGTGCCGCAAATAGCAACAGGTCGTCTGCGTATAAGATAATTCGGATCCCTTTCAATCGGCAGACTCGACGAATGGTGTTCATCAGCTGATGGAAGTACTCCGGCGAGAAAGTCGCTCCCGTTGGAAGCGCAAGAAAGCACCATAGCTGTCCCTTGCAATCCCGAAATTGCCAAAGTTGGGGCTGTACTACTCCGATGGTGTAAAATCTATCGCGATAATACGCCGACATTATGTGATTGGTGGGTCGCGCAATCGTTGACTTTTATTCAAATCTTCCATCCAAAATTTACGTTTGACTGCGTTGTCGTTGATCAATTTCGGGTCGAGTATCAGCCTTGACCTGATCCCATCCGATTTCAGGATCATAATTGTCATGTGGATTAGATACACTTCGGATTCTGCGCATCTCCGGATGACAACCTGACGTTCCAGTCGTAGTAGCTCGGTTTCCTCCATCTCCACTGTTACTTCCGGCTTCAAGATCCGGCGTCCGCGGTCGGATGGCTTCGGTGGCTTCTGCTTCCCCCATTCAGGTCTCACTCCACATCGTATCGTGTCGCATATTTTCCAATTCGTCCCCAGAGCTCGCCATGTTTTTAGACGTGCGCGTACTCGAAGAAATAGGGCGTCGTTTGGAGATTTTGTTGGATTAATAAGTGTTGTTTATGACTTATGTAATCAGCCTTGGGCTTTCGCTACATTCTCCTTAGCCACCCTTTCACGGACGGATTTCTCGCGGGCGGCTCTGTCCTTATTGGCTTTTCCTGTTTTATATGAATGAACTATAGCCAATTCGTGCAGCTTCTTTACCTGGTTGTCTTCGAGCTTTTGCAGCAATGTATCGAACATGTTAAAGTTGTATGTTTGATGTTCTAACAATGAGGCAAAGTCTCCTCGCTTACTAACTCGTATTTTCTTGAGTTAGTGTGAGCTTGAAATCGTGTAGCAGATCGACGACGAGACCAATCCGTGCCACTTGCCGTAACTCGTCGGTATGTACGTTCTGTTGGATCTGCTTGAGTTGTTATAATTGTACCAATTCTTAATTCGTACGAGTTCGTCTTGCACCGGCTTCTTTTCTCCTTTTTAGAAACTATTGACTGTGTACAGGCGTGTCTTTAATCTTTTGGAGAAAGTAACTTCTTCGACAAATTCCGGATTTGTGATCATCTTAGCGATGCCAGTTGATATGCTTTCCTCAGCCGGTCTCACGTTGTCTTGCAGTGCGTTCACAAATTTTAGGTTTGAAATTCGCCCTAGAGGTGGCTTAACTGAGTATAGCCCCGTGGGGCCCTCTGTTGGTGCAATATAGCCAGTGCGGTTGAAACTTTCTTGATTCAAAAGTTGCTGAAGTAGGCGCTGGTTAAGATTTTGTGCTTGCTGTTCTTCGGCCATTCTAGATGCGAATGGTTAGAGCGGTGTATGTGGTATGATCCCACTTCACGGATTGTATCAACCACGGTGGTGTCAATACGAGAAGGGTATAAGATAAGATAGTACGCTAGTAAAATCTTGTCTTATGTACATAAGACGAGCTCGGTGAACGAGTCCGAATACCATAAATGATTCTGCTGAGAGGATGTTCCCTTAATCATCTTGATGAGATAATTAAGTGAGCATACTCCAGCAAAACTATTGGTAGTCAGGTTCGTTTACCAAGTTTGTCTTCAACATATTTCAGAGTAAACTCTGTAGAACATGTAAAAAGTATTGAGCTTTTTGAAATTCTGACGTCAATTTCTGCCCTCAAAAGTACCAAATTCAAATTTTGAAGAACGGACAATATATTCCAAATTTCGAGCAAGCTATTATTCCAAATTTCGAGCAAGCTATTTTTTCAGAGACACAAAATCCAAAATCTGTCCAAGGAATTTTTAAGTCCTGGTCATTCTAAGCAATTTCCGCTATCCAACTCTTTGGTCGGACCGATGTGTCTATACTACACTCGAACTAGGGTCATTTCCCAACTCTATCTATACGCGAGTGCTCCATATGACCTAGCCGGTACGTTTCGAAGAGGGGAAAAAGGTGATATGTAGACTGTGTTTTATTTGTCTTATGTTGGTTGTAGCTGTAGCTAAGTAAAGTGAAGCTACAACCGACAGTCATACGGCTTTTATGCCGTCGTCACACGAGAGTCTTATATACTTTGTTCTCCTGAACATCCATTTTATGTTCAGGCCGTTGACACTTTGCTGTCACACGAAAGTAGTTTTTGAATTTCAATTGTTAGTGCACTTTCACCCGCCAAATATCCGTATGAGGAAAATCAGTCTGGTTTATAAACAATAGCACAGTTTAAGCAGGATTTTAGTCCATGGTTTACAACCCCCCATACGACCTGATTTCAGGAGAAAACAGTGTCGTATGAGAAAGACAAAGAAGAAGTCAAGAAGGCTGAGTAGCAATATGCTTCGTATGCCAGTCAAGAAGTTGCGAGTTCAAGTATGAGAGGCTAATGACCCACCGATAAGCACAGGCACATACAGAGTGGACAGAAGTAAACTCTGTATCAGTAAGAGCTCCCAAAGAAATTCAGCATCTTCAGGACGGAAGGAAGAATCAGATCGCTGATAGTTATGAACAACGGCAAGGCTGAAGTACTTCCGCATAGCCACATTAGATTTATACTGGAAGAGTATGGCAGCAGCCCAATCCTTAAAGCAAACGCTGGGCGACCTTATCAGTTTCAAGAGCATCGCGAACAGGGCTGTCATGGAAGAGCCAGTTCGTGTAGACAGGTGCAGCACGTGTACCGCGGACTACTGGTGTGGAGAAACCGATAGGAGGCGATAAGCCTTGAGCTTAAATCGATGAATGCGATATAATTTTGAAGTAGCGGTATTGTCTTTGTATAAAGACGTATGTGACAGCGAATACACTTGGCATTGTTTGGTTCTCACATCCGGACATTTGACATTATTTATATTCCCTTCTGTGATGAGTAACATGTTTTCCTTTGAGTGCGGCACCTTCAACACCCACAAGACCAAGACTATGATCGCCATTATTTTGTCGTAGTTGATTGAGTACCTCACTTCGTAGACACACACATACACACGTAGACATACACCTATCGACATGTAGGCACACACATACACACGTAGACATAGACATACACATGTAGACACACACACGTAGACACACACATACACACGTAGAAAGAAACATATACACACGTAGACACACACATACACACGTAGATATACACCTATAGACACGTAGACCCACATATACACACACATACAGACGTAGACAAAGACATACACATGTAGACACACACATACACACGTAGACATACACCTATACACACGTAGATATACACATGCACACGTAGACATACACATACACACGTAGACATATACCTATAGACACGTAGACATATACATATACACGTAGACACACACATACAACTGCCTCTGGTTCAGTGTCGGGTTTCTCGTCGTCGCGTACATTTTGTACTGTGTCCCATCGAGACGAATGGTCAACAGGATTGTTTCCAAGGATATGTTTCAGTATATAGTTGTACCGTTCTGTAGATAGTAGTTATCTGTCAGTATCATCGTGTTTATCTGTTTACATTATATTTATATTATTGCAAGATTCCTTGCTGAGGCCCAATAGATCATACGCAAAATGCTGTGCAGCAAAAAAGCTTTCATTTCCCAATCTTCTACATCCGTAATATACAATGAAGCGGATAAGTGTTGCCGTTGAACACGTACCGATGTATTTATCTATACCAGAAGCATAGATAATACATTTTCGATTAGCATCAGAAATAAACTGGCTCCATCGACGTGCACTTCTTCGTCGGACTCTAAAGCCATATTATCTAACCGATCCTCAAGGATACGTGCATGTGACTGTGCTATAGCGGCAGTAACTATTTGCTTTCCATCTCTTTAAGCGGTCAGAATGCATACCGCTCTGTTCCTCAACTGTCTTATGTTTCTTTTCAGTTAAAATGGGTACTGTAGGCAGAGTGAGTGCTTTACCACTTTTTTTTGGTAGAGCCAGATGTAAGTTTCGGTCTCTTAAGGCGATATTAACGTCTTAGAGTAGTTAAACGTAATAAAGTCTTCTAAAGCTCAAATGAAATCAAAGCAAAATAAACGTAATTTGTCTTTTAGTAAAGTTATGTTTGCCTCGTGAAAACAGCAATACTCTGAGGTATTGTGAGGCTGAGACATGCCAGCGACTCAATAATTGTGAGTCGGGTTTCACCTCTTTCATGTATTGAAGAGATTTCTGATCACACAATAGCGTAAATGCTGTTCCGTATAAGTAATCTTGGAAGTGTGTTAGAGCTGCTACTATGACTAATAGCTCTTGTTTAACAGTTGGATAATTCAACTGTGAAGCATTCATAGCTGGACTAAAGAATTGTATATATCTAGGTTTGTTATCTATAACCTGATATAATACTCCTCCTAGGGCTAAGTCGGAGGCGTCCGTTGCTATTTCAAACGGCACGCCATCGACTGGCCCTTGTACTATAGGTGCTTGTTGGACGGCGTGTTTGAGTGCTTTAAACGCATCATCACACTCTTTTGTCCACAAGTCCCTTAGTTTACCTTTGTGACATCTTAAGTGTCCAAAGGGTTTGTAATCAGCCAAGTGTGGTACTCCATCTGAAAAAAAGTTTACAAACCCACACATGCTGTTCACATCTCTTCCTGTAGTTGGTGTTCGCCAATCTAACAGGTGTTCTACCTTACCGAGATCGATCTTAATACCTTCCCCAGATATACGATAGCCTAAGAGCTGTATTTTGCTCGTTGCGAAGTGGCATTTCTTCTCGTTAATCTTGAAGTTTTGCTCGTTGAGTCTCTTAAGGACTCGTCAGACTAATGCGGCGTGTTCACCCTTAGTTTTAGAAAAGACGACTATGCCATCTATATAGACTTGCACGTTACTTGTTGGAAGAATGCTGGTAGAGAGTGTAACCCGAAAGGTGCTCTTCTAAGCCTGTATTGTTTACCTTTCCACGTAAAACTAAAGTATTTACGATGTGGTTCATATATCTGCATTTGATGGTATCCTTGTGTAAGGTCTATAGTTGTAAATACTGTAGCACCTTCCATCCTTCGCAGTAGATCGTTAATACGAGGTAGGTAAAAGATATGAGTTGGCAATAATTAATTTATCGGACTCATATCTAAACATACCCTGACTTTCTTAAACGATCCGTCAGAGTTATGTTGGTCTACAGCTAGCAATGCCAAGTTAACTGGTGTCTGTTGATAGCTAATCTCTATCACTCCATCTGCTAACCATTTCTCAACTTGTTCTTTTACCACAGCCTCGTGTCTCCAGGATACATAGTTCCTTGACGGGCACTTCAACTGTGTAAAGTCCACCTTGGTTAAGTCAAGGCTGACATATCCGTCGTTAAAACGGAATTTTGCCCAATCTGTGATCTTTATCTTCTTATTTACTAGAATCAGATCCATGATTTTGTCCACAAAGTCAGGTATTAATGCCTTGGCTGTGTCTGACGGGGGCTTGTATGGTTTCAGACAGTTA